AATACCGAATTTGCCAAAATGTTTGGTATACCGACACTTTCGGTACAATATGATACTGTACCGAATTACTTCGGTATGGTCTCGATATATATTTTGGAAATAAGTGGTATACCGAAATACCGTCATACCATAATTCCAAGCCAATAATTTCCTTAAATTTTTGAAATAATTACATAAATATGACCAAAATAAATATGGTTTATAAAAATATGAATAGTTACTAGAATAGTAATGAAATCATAGTAATTCATGTTCAAGTTTTGAACTTAAGTTACCACAACACTACGTTGTAGTAATGAATAGGCATATTTATGTAAATAAGTTTTATTTTAGTAATATTCTTATAAAAAACCCAATTTTTTAAATGAAAATAATTTCCTTAAAATTATAAAATAACTAGAAACACAACATTAATTCAAGGATAAACGACTTTATATCCATGTTTCATGAATTATTTACATTTGTTGGGTTAATGGCCCAAATAGAGGATCGGCCCATTTACCCCCTCATTTGGACGAACGTCCAACCCAATAAGGCAACCCACCCCGACGAGCGTCCAGCCAGGATAACGGTGGATCAAGCCTGCGGGCAAAGGCTGTGGCGACGAACGTCGCCACCTAAAGCCCGCAGCCACATGATGCCCATCCAATCTGTATGACAAATTCTCCCAAGGGCCAGAATACGAACGGCCCACAACCCTTTGCAGTATCACCAGGGGCAGGCCCCCGGCCCAACTAGACGTCCGTCTCCACAAATTAGGCGGGAAACCCAGATTCTGCCGGGAAACACATTTAATGCTGAAGATTTGGTGGTTGAGACACCAGACACTCACAGCCTTCTACGTCAGTATAGCCAACTGCCCATTGGTGGTATAAATAGCAGCATTTATTTCATTATAAGGGGTTGGCAACTTATTAGCCTTAACACGCTAGCATATTACTCGCATCTCTTCTACTATAATAGAAGACGAACGGCCTTCGGCCTTAACAAGTGTATTGTATCGAGGTGTTATTCATCATTAATAATATCTGGTGCTTTACTTGTTCATAATTCTCTTAACTCATCTTACTTGCTGTTGGTCCAGTTAATTACCCACACTTAAACAATCCACTCGAAATCCTTGGGCTTATGTGTTGGACCTGAGGGTTGAAGGAATAAACTTCAACAATACTTTTTGTTAGAGATCGGTGTTATTTTAATTATATTTATGTTGTTTAAATTATTTTAGCAGAATGTGTTGTTATCTTCATATATCATGTGTTGAAATATTGAAACATATTTATAATATTTTTTGTTCAAAGTTGAATAGAACACCAATAGGTTATCATTGGTATTTTATACTCCCTCCAATTCAAAAACAAGTTCCACATTTGACTTCACACATATTAAGAAAAGAAATTTGACTTTACTGTGGAGTGCACTGTTTGACACTGTTTGAAACTGTTTTGATGTAGATAATTTGCCAAATAAGGAAAGGTTTGAAAGCGGAACTTAATTTTGGAACTGCCCGAAAAGGAAAGGTGGAACTTGTTTTTGAATCGGAGGGAGTAATTAATTTCATTAATGATTTTAGTATATCACTATTAACACTGATTTTCAATATTTTATTTGACATATAATAATTTGTTATATTAAATCATGATAAATTATTGATATCGTACCTTACCATATCAAAATTTCGGTATACCGAAACGGCGAAACAAGGTATACTGAAATTTCGATATGGTAACGGTATGTGTTTTTGCATACCGAAAATTTACGATTTGATAAAGATATGAGATAAAATGTTCGGTATACCGTGTCGAACCACCCCTAGCTCTGGTGTTAGCTTTCTTTCTTTAGTCGTTGCTTATCTTCCATCCAACATAGAGAGGCACGTATATTTAGTTTCAGAGTATTGATTTGGATTTGACATGTGGAACCTTTTACGGTACATAAAAGGTTCATAATTGCAACACTTGCCTTTTTTGGCAGTTTCAAAATAATTGCAACATTTTCCTTTAAGGCAATGAAATGATACTCTCTCCGTAACAATTATACCTTCCCACTTTCCTTTTTTTGATGTAACATTCATATCTTCCCATTTCATAATTTTCCAATCATACCCTCGATAATTTCAAAAATAATACACTATTACACCTACTTTTTTGGATTTATAATTCGTTCCATCACATTATTTCATTATCTTCCCATCATACCCTCAATAATTTATAGGAAAATTTTATGGTGCATCTACACTATGGATTGTTCCGGTACATCAGCCATGTGGCAAAACATAATTGGTAAGGTATTCTGAGTCACGATTCAATTTTTAAATTGCTTGGAATGATAAAAGCAGGTGTGCCACAAGGGTTAGGTCTCGGGTTCGAATCCCGGCAACTGCGATGAGGGGTTACTATGCTGAAAAATGCATAGGGCTTCTGCAAGTACCGGGGACAGAGCCCCACTCTCTATCTGTCAGATTGTGATTATAGTCCAATTTACATCCTCCCATCGTGTCGTCCGGTCGGTGTTGGGGGATCCTTAGGGATGGGGTGTCATCCTTTTTTTGGAATGATAAAAGCAGTCCAATGTATACGGAAAATCGCATTGAAGTCCTCCCAAGCCACAATTCATTTCACCGCTTGCCACTTGCCAGGGCACTTGTTCAGCCGTTCAGGAAAAAAAAATTGTTCAGCTGTTCAGAGCTCATTTGAGAGAGGTATTTTCTCACGCAAGAATCCCCTTTTGTCTTCTTCCATTTACCATCTTCTCTCTGCGGCATATTCCCTGAAGAGGCAGTGCCCCAAGAAGAGCTTAAAGCTTTAACCGACCTGTATGACTATTAATGGTAACGCAAAAATTCAGTCTGAATCGGGGTTCGGGTTAATCTTTGGATTGTTTACGTTAAGTTTTCCTCTTTCTACTTCAATTTCAATTTGGACCATATGTAATCAATTAACCACTTTGATATAACAATAGTTATTAACTAAAATGACACGTGTGTAACCACCTTACTTGTATTCAGTTAGTAGCTAATAGTATAAAAAGAAATCCAGCTGTTGTAATCTGATCATCATCTCAATTGTTACTATCAATAATACTCTCTAGTTCCCTGCGTTCATCTTACTACTCAAGAAAACCGTCCTGGACTTGGGTTAGAGAACTGTTGTTTTCACATTAGTTCTCAATTTCTTCTGATTCTTTTATCATTTTCAGTTCAATTCTTATTAATACAGAATTGCTGTATTACACTCCGTATATATTAAACTATTTATTGATATGATTTTCGGCTTTAATTTTTTCATCCTAATGTGCAGTTAATTTGTGATGTGGTTTATTTGACATTTGATGGAGTCAGATTTTATTTTGAGCTGTTTGAAAATTTGATGAAGAGCTAATTTTTTGTCTTCACAAAAAAAATGTGTGTGTTTGCCGAAGACTCAGATAAACGTTATAATGATCTTATTCCGATGATCTGATCACTCTTCTTTTCTGTAATAAAAATTCTTTTCGCCTATAAAAGTAGGGGGAGTGGCTACAGAAATTGGGTAAAAGTGTGCTTTAGCTTAACCTGTATGTTTGACTTACAGATTGATGCAAAATGGTATAAATTTAAATATAATCTATCATAAATAATGTGGTGCTAATAGAGGTGTAGGGCATGACAGTGTGCATCTTTAGAGTGATTATTTATGGTTGAAGCTTGTCATAGCTTAATCATCGCCGCTCTCTCTCATTTCTTCTTACAAATTCGTAACAGTTTCATCCTTCAGATTTGTGTGACAGAGGAAATCCAGAGGAGGTTGCATTGATGAAAATCTTAAGAGGGATAAAACAACAAGCTATATCAAACTGCAATCATAGTTGATTTGTATTTTTTAGATGAATAGATGCTGGAATTGGTCTCTGTACCATTTCATAAAATGTGATTACTCTCATTTCCAAATTCATTGAATGTCCCAAACTCTTCTTAGTCATCTATGATGGTTTCATGCAGCTTTAGTTTTTTATGTTGTAGTTTACAATCTTGATCCAGCAAATGCTTATGTTCTTTTTGTAGCATTCAACATTAATGCATTATAGATTGTTCATATGAATGAATATGTGTGTGTCTCGTCATATCAAACGCCTTTTATTGGCCGGGGATATTACTTTTGCACTCATCTTTCAAATATACATGCTCATGTCAATATTGAATCCCTTTTGATGAACTTTAACATGGAAATTCTTATTGCGGTTATCCTATTTAAGGGGCAGAGATGCAACTCTTTGTTTTCAAGTAAACCTGCATGAGGTCGTTATATTCATGAAGATGAACTAACTCGGCTGAATTTTCTTACAAGTCTGTATTTTTTGTCATATTTTGTTTCTGCTTGTTAAATGTTTCTGCCCCTCCCCCTCCACTAAAAATGTTTAAAAATCATGATATGGCCTGTTATTGGAGAAGCTTTGCCTCAATATAGGGAGGCGTCTACACCTTATACTTCCATAATCCATCTTTAGCCCCTTTAGCTATTCTAGAAGACTTTTGTGCGGTTTGCCATACACGTAAGTGCATAAATGTTCAAGTATAAAGCATTGTAACTATAAAAGACCGCAGGAAGTACAAAGGTTTTATTGCCTTCTTTGTAGTTCAGTTTGCTTTTATTCGACTTTTCAAGGAAAGAGGAGCAACCACATTCTTTCAATTTTGATGGCCAAAATGATACATATTCATCGTTGTTCTTGTTGGAGTCTGGTAGAAGAAAGCGCCTCATGAACAACGACATAGTTGCTGAGAAGAAATAGAGAAAGAAGGAATGAGAGAACAAATAAGAACATCCTTGTTTAGTCCATGACATTTACATCTCATTAAGTATTTAAGTTACTTTTTGACAACATGAATTAGGCATGCCTTTGCTTCAACATTTTTAAGAACAATAATAATAGTAATAATAATAAGAACAATATGTACCAATATTACTATTAGTATATTAGTATTACTATGAGTGTATCATACTACAATATAGTATTTGTACGAAGTATTAGTTAGCATTAGTATTGACTAATGTAATACTATCTAATATCATAAATTAATGTACTGAGTTGTACGGAGTATATACTATCGTATTATTTTTTGAAGAGAACAAACTTAACTTGTACGTAGTATTAATAAGATCACAGTTTACAACTTGAGCAACAAAAAAAAGGGAAATAAAAAAACCATTCTTGACAAAAGACAAAGAAACCGCAATCTTGGCAAATTCATGGGTTGCCTTGTTTGCTGATCGTCAAACATGAGCTAAAGAAATGCTTGTAAAATTAGAGCCCGCCGCAGACAAGCTTCCTCCTGCTTGGATCTCTAAAACAGCCCACAAAGAATCAGATTCAACGTCTACGAAATCCCGCTCGTTTGATTTTAGCCAACTAAGTGCCTGCCTAATACCCATTAATTCGGCCTCCAACAAAGTCAATTTCCTCGACCAAGGCGCTGCTACCCCTGCAATGAAGGCACCAGTATGATCTCTAAAATCCAACCTAGGACACACCCATCTGCTCGGATCGAAGCATCAACAATTCAACATTTAGTTTTAAACGCCCCTCACTTGGCCTCCTCCAACTGGACATACAAGGCTGCCTGGAAGAGATTTACAGCCTGCCAGTATGTTGCGCTTGGAGCCAGCCCTCCACAAGAGCTGATGCCCGCTGCATGAGCTGCTTCTCCTCAGCTCTAGCACTGTTCCATACTCGTTCGTTTCGTTCACACCATAAACCCCAACAGCCCCAAATTAATTTAAAAAGGTCTTCTTCCTTATAAGAATTGAAATTCAGCTACAGCCATTCCTGAAAAGTGAAGTGTTATAGGACACCCCCCTCCAAGCTCCAGCTCCAACCGACTAAGCCCCAGACCTTCCTCACCTCTACTGGATTATATTTTAGAGTGCAAACTGGCTTAATATAGCTCCATTGGCGATTAATCATTTGAAGAGGGCACATCACAATCCTTTTATATGGTCAAAGGAATCAAATTTAGTGCTATTATTTCCCGTGTTATATGTTTGGTGATAAGAACTTAACAACTATAACAAGTATTTAATGACGTAAATCAATAAGGTGATGTGATCAACCATTTTAAAAAAATGGTAGAGCACAAACATGTGAGCATGTGTTCGCCAGTTGTGGGAAAAGGTCGATAGCATGGGTTGATTACAAGTTATAGTTCACAAATTTTTATTTTTCATCAATACACTTATACACCATGGAGGTGTGGAAGCACAACGCCTAGGTAGGCATAGTCCAAAGTCTACCAAAAGCTCCAGCAGCTACTAACATCCAGAAGAGATAGACAAACAAATGGTCGGAAAAAACAGTTAATATAGCAGAGAGATATTAGCGGTCCTATACTAGCAGTCAAAGAGATCATTGTATAAACACTCTCATTTATATGTTACCAGTTAAGACTAGTTAACAACTTGAGCAGCCAAATCATTCCCAGGTCTTCAATTTATCGCACATACTAACCTGGATTGTTGGGTGCAAATATTCTAATTAGAATATTTACATATATTGAAAATTTCAGAAAAAGGTTCCTATTTGAATATCCTCTTCCATAGTTCCATGCACCCCCTAGGCACAACTCTCTATTAACACCCACCAGCAATAATACCAGATCAATGAGCAGAACTTCCATGGAAAATGAATAGAAAAATCCACCGCACCACGTTCACAAATCTTTCCCAGATCAAACAGAGGACAACATCAGTTCATAATCCTAAATGAAAATCTGTGCTAATAATTTTAACGGACAAAAATTAGCCCAATATGATGTATTTTAAGGAAGCAAAAATGTAAATTAAAATAGAATCTTACGGAGTTTAGTTGGGATAGGGTTTGCAAAGGTGATAAGATTTTGCAGATGCGGAGGAGGCCTTTGAACGAGTTGAACGAGACGGCGGAGATAAGGCAGTTCTAAGGATGAGAACGGCTGAAGGGGAACCAGACATGTCTTTAGGACAGAGTTAGAACTATCACATAATCTTGGGGTTGGTTTGGCAATTTCGGAATTTTTTATATAAATAGCTGATGTGGAATAGATATCAAATAATATTCAGCCATGTGGCGAATGCACCAAAACATACCCCAATGTCTATGCACCGAAGAGCTTTCCTAATTTATACCCTCTTTCACTATTCTTAATTTACATACTTTTCAAATGAGAACATATATATGTTACAGAGGGAGTATATACATGGACATTAATACCATGCTCCTCCGATTTATAGAGTAACACCATGCCATCTATTTTGATTTTTGGAAAATACTAGGGGTACACAAGTTGTACACAACTTGTACACACAATGTCGGTCACAGACAATTGGTACGGAGTTGCCTGTGACCACAGACAAGAGTTGTCTGTGTACACAGACAAATTTTGTCTGTTTCCACAGACATTTACTTTTTTGTGAAAAGTACACTGAGAGCCGTCTGACACTGACAAGTACTTTTTACAAAAAAAAAAATGTCTGTGGAAACAGACAAAATTTGTCTGTGTACACAGACAACTCTTGTCTTTGGTCACAAACAACTCCATACCAATTGTCTGTGACCGACATTGTGTGTAAGTTGTGTACAACTTGTGTACCCCTACCTTTCTCCTAGTTTTTCCTGTCCACCCATCTGTACCCATCGTCTCTCTTTTTTCTCTTGAATCTTTTTCTTCTATCTTTCTTTATTTTCATTTCTCTTGAATGAAGTTGAATCATTTCTCTTGGATTTGTTACAAGCTACTCACAATCCATCCAACTTATGTTTTCCTTTCAACGAAGCATGACTTCTTCTTTTTCTTCACTCTGTTGCTTTCGCCCCCCAATTTGAAAATTGAGGAAGAAGATTCGAAGAGCAAAGAGGCAAACAAGCTTCCTCCTGTGAGTGCCTTTAAAGATTCGACTGGAAGAAATAGGTAAATCTGGATATTACTTTTCAAGTTGTTCGAATGAAAGAAGCTAGCTAAATGTCACGGACTTGTTCCAGCCTAGAAGAGCAAAAAAAATGGAGAGTTTATTTGTACGAGAAATGAAAGAAATTATGAATCGGTATGGCTGTTGCAGCGTTCTTCGCAAAAGATAGAATCATCCTGGCCAAAAAATGGGAAGTCATGGATGAGAAGACGGAGGTGTTGGTTGAAGGTCCTCTTTCTGATTGTACTCCTGTCGTACAGGAGGCGCAGCAGTGGAAATTATTTTCTTTAGCTGTATACCTTAATACTCCGTATGTGTGTCCAACCTCCATGTTGCAATTAATTTGGCATATTAATTTGGATTTGACATTTTGAACTCCCCTTTGTGCCTTTTCCAAACACTTAATTAACACTATTAGTAGTGGTGGACCCGGTTCGGGTCGCCCGGCCCGGGACCGGCCCGGCCCGTCACTGTACGGGCCCGGAACCGGCCCGGTTCTCGGGTCCGGGTCCGGTTCGGGCACCGAACCGGTGGGAGAAGCGGGTCCGGGCTCGGGTTCTGTTTTTAGTGGCCCGGCCCGGCTGGGTCGGGCCCGGGCCCGGGCCTAACGGTCATTTTTTTTTTTAAAAAAAAATTATTTTAATTTTAAAAAATACATCTTGGCTCAACGGCCACTTCCCAAACGGCTATATAGCCGTTGGGGGGTACCAGGGGGGTCCGGGGCGTTTGGGGGTGGGGGTGGGGGTTAAAAAAACCTATAAATACTCCTAATTTTAAACATTTTTTCACACCTCTTCTCCAACTCTCCCTAAATCCTACTCTCTACTCATCTCCAATTCTCCATATTCATCTTCTCAAATTCTCTTATTCTCCTTTATATTTTATTTTACTATTTAATACTTATACAATTATTATATCTACTTATATATTAATTATCTACTTATAAATACATATACTATATTACTTATATTTCTTATCTACTTAATCTCTACTTATATTTCTTAATACATACATACATACTACATCTACTTAATATATACTTTATCTACTTTTATATATACTTTATAATATCTATTTTATGTATACTTATTTTCTTATTTTCCAATCTCCAATTCTCCATTATACTCTAATATTTAATTCTTATACAATTATTATATCCACTTAATACATACATTCTACATCTACTTAATATATACTTTATATATTAAAGTATAAAATATAAGTGTATTACTCATCTTATAGTAGTATACTTATATATTATATACTATAAACATTATATTATATATTACTTACTATAACTAGCTCAGTATTGTACTAGTTAATTAGTTAATTAGCATTCTTGTTACATTTATCATTATAATAGTTAATTAGTTCATTACCATTATTGTTACATTTTTCATTATACTAGTTAATTAGTTTATTAGCATTGTTGTTACATTTGTCATTATACTAGTTAATTAGTTAATTAGCATTGTTGTTACATTTTTCATTATACTAGTTATTAACTTCATTAGTATTCTCATTAATTGTTAAAACAACTCTACTTCAATAAACTAGTTAATTGTCATTATAGTTAAAGTCACATTTTCTTATTTTTCAATTTATATTTGTAGGAAGAAATAGTAGTTCAATCATTTAATTAAAGTACTTAACATTTTATTTAAGTAGTTTTTACTAAATTAAAGTACTTCAAAAGTTGGTATAATTTTAATTTTAAAGTCACACATTAATTCTACTTTGCACTAAATTAGTTTGAAGTATTAATTAAAATAGTTTTAATTAGTTGCATTAGTTGTGTATCCATTATTATATTGGTTGTCAATTAATATTTGTTACATTTTTAAGATGGAAGGTGCAGGGGCGGATCTACTCACACTCTTATGGGGGCAGCTGCCCCCAATAAAATCCTACTAATCCTATATAATTTATTAGTAAAAGTTAAAATTTAGGTATTTGCCCCCAATAAAAATAACCGGTTGCCCCCAATAATTCAGCCGTCCATCCACCGTCCCAGTAAATCTTAAATTCACATTTTGGAATCACTTAAACTGGAAGACACACTTGACCACTGACTAAGTTCAAGTTGTGATTATGTCTAAATGGAAAGAAGACATCACCTGGATGAGTTAGGTTGATCGTTGTGTTAGTAGAGTATGTGGCGTATGTGTTCTCTAGTTGTTGTTTTTATCATTGTGTTCTCTAGTTGTTAAACACTTAAGTTGTGTGTTGCTTTTTTAATTAGTATGTTAATTTTTATATAAAATAATTATATATGAATAGAATACGACTGCGTAATAGATAGTGTTTTTTTTATCGTGCGTAATAGATAGTGTTATTAAACTTAATTATTATAATGTTATTACTTTATTTTATGGCTATTGGAGCAGATCCATAAATTTAATTTAATTGATGACATACGGACATAGTTATTCATCTATTAGAGTCTATTTTTTTTTACATCAATTAGAAAATGTCATTTAATAAATACAATTTTAATTGTAAATTATATGTTCCGTAGATAGTTAAATACGGAGTATATTGTTTTTCAGTCCAACACTAGACTTAAACGGACCAAATCTGACCAGACTTTCATAGTTATAAAATAGGCGTAAACCAGACATTTATAAAATCAAACCCATTCAGACAAGACCTGAGCACATTTAAACAGATCAGACCAGACTACAACAAATTTCAGCCCACGTAAAAAGTAAAAACATGCTAACAACACAATTATACTTTACTAATTTTTATTCTTTTGTTACACTACTTCTACGTAGTACTCCCTCCATTCCATTTTACACTCTTACTTTCCACTTTAAGGTACCCCAAAATAGGTGTCACATTTTTTTTCCTGGAAAGACATGAGATCCACGATATTTTACTCAATTCTACTCAAACCACTACTTCAAATATTATTTTTTCAATCATTTTATTAATAATTATGTCAAATTGGAACAAGACACATAAAATGGTACTTAAGTAGTACTACGTATTTTTGATCCCTCTGCCCCCAATAAACTTTTTTCCTGGATCCGCCACTGGGAAGGTGGTAGATATTCGGTTGATTTGGGTAACCTCCAACGCAATCGAAGGAACGAGATTGGGAGGAAGAAATCCCGCAAATGTAAAGAACTTGCCGGTTCTTCATCTCAAAGCCGAGATGATTTTGAAACGGGTTACCAAAGGCGAGATGGAGATGCGATGTCCGAAGAAGAACTCCAACAAGAATTGGCCCGACATAATAACTGCTTTCTACAACAACAACAAATGCCGACGACCATTGACGAAGAGGAGCTTGAGGATGAAGATGCGGAGGAATTGGAACCGGAGACGGCCGAGGAGGAGGGTGCCGGCAGCCACGACGCCGACGAGCCTGCCTCATCCCAAACCGCCACCGGTAATAAAAAAAGTAAGTCTGAACTAATGAAAAATAATTTTGATAAATGGAAGGACCCACAAACCGGCTATTGGCACGCAACTTGCAAGTGGTGCAACAACAATTATAGTTTGGGAACCTCCGGCGGATACGGATCCGCCGCAAGGCATCTTAAGGCAAAGCACCCCGTGGAGTATGCAAAATTAGGCGGCGGAACGGGGAAGCAAACTCAAATATCGAGGTTTGCGAATTCTCAACCTTTTGGTAATTTCTCCTACAATGATGCACAAAATTTGACTGGTATGACTAACTTAATTTGTGAAGAAAATTTGCCTTATTTGTTTTCTGAAAGTCTTGCTTTAAGAGATTATGCACAAGGTAGTTTAAATCCTCAATTTAGAAATTATAGTCGCAAAACTGTTAAGAAAGAAATAATAAGGCTTTATAATGCGGAAAAGGCAAGGTTACAATTTTTTTTTGCAAACTTTGATGGGCTTGTTACTATTTGTTCTGACATATGGGAGGATGATTTTCATCATTTATATTATTTGGGTCTGACTGCACATTATATTGATGAGGATTGAAATATGCATAAACGTGTTCTTGCTTTTCGTGAATTTAATGATCGTCACACCGCTGAACATATTTATATTTTGATTGAGCGTATTTTAATTGAGTATAATTTGATTGATA